ACGCAAAGCTGTGGAGCAGCGGTTCTCAACCTGATGAAATATGGGGGTGTTTAATTTTATTAACAGGGATTAGGATTTATAGGATTTAGGATTTCTACTGTGCAAAAGATTTAATCCAGATGGGTTTTTCATATTTTCCGTCAGAGCAGCCAGACCTTCCTCCTAACTTCCTTGATGAGTCTCAGTCCATTGTCCTCCAGGTTTTCTGGGCTTTTATAAACCAGCCGAACCTTTCCTCAGAAGACATTCAGACCCAAAAGTATATTATATTGCAGCCTTTTTGAATATAAAATACTGACAGAAATCAACTTTGCTATCACGTCTCATGCTCTGTATTTCTAAAAAGATAAAGCCTAAATACCCGAATGGACTCTAAAGCAGGAGGAAAATATGGATTTCTAGTGATGGGTTCCTTTTGCAGTCTATAAAACCCTGAAATCTGACCGAGGTATTATAAAGTTTTAGATAAATGTGGGAAAAAATTATAATAATGTGGAAAAATGTTCTTTCGAACTGTCTATCAGCATTTAATTGGTAAATTAGCAATGAGAGTCCATTTAAACAGAGACCTTATTAGAACCAGACCAACATACATACATACATACATCCATCCATCCGTCCATCCGTCCGTCCGTCCGTCCATCCATCCGTCCATCCGTCCGTCCGTCCATCCATGCATCCATCCATCCATAACTTTATTGAGAATATTAATGTTTCTCCTTTAAAATGTTCTATAGATTTGATCAAAATTCAGAATAATCTAGTTTGGGCATGATAAAAACCCTCTCAACATTACATTATAGCAGAAAAAAAAAATTACACTTATTTTGTATTTTCCTGAACAATTTGTTTCTCTTTCTTTTTCTTTTAAAGCAAAGGTTCGGTCAGCAAGGAATAATTAATGGCTTAATGGCTTAATTATCTATACTTAAAACTAATATGTTTGCGGTGATTTAATGTGTTTAGCTTTAATCAGTAAAAAAATTAAAAAATAACTTTCATCGCGATCACCAAGTCCAGAAGCGGCCATTTTTGCCCAAATATAGTAACATCTAACTACTGACATCTTCCAGCAGTGACGTCACAGTGCAGTAAGCCTAGCGCCACTCTCATCACTTAAAAGCAAAATCAATGGGAACTACTAGACACATCTGCAATCAACAACAATTATTTAAGATTTCCAGAGGACTTCAACATTGAAATTCACCACAGCTATAGTGAAACTGACAATGCCCAAGTGCATGGGGCATCGGGTAAAAGTGAAAATAAATTAGTTATTTCACCTTTCCGATTCATGATCCTCAAGTTGGATAGCCAACTTGAAGAGGGAGGATTTGCCATCAAACTTCTGGCCAGAGAAAAAACGCGTAATATGTAGCCAACATTTGGAAGAAGAATGTTTTCAAGATGACTTGGATAATAGCGCGTTGTCACAAACACCAGATACAGCAGTGGGACTTGATCAACAGCCGATACCGCACCGTGACGTCACAAACCAGTGGGTGGCAGTAGTGTTCTTTGACAAACATGGATGCCTTCAGTAAAGCACATTCACATGAAAATTATTTATTATTATTAAATAAAAACACTTATTTATTGAACAGTATGTAATAATTTTATATTGAAAGTACTTTTAGAAGTTTGACTTCTGAATATGACTGCACTATTCCTTTAAATATTGTTAAAAATGTTACCCCTAACAATTATAATGCTGTGTAGCTGTCGCCCTTCTCAGTGCTTTACGTGTCTATTTAAGCTGCTCATTAAGTCGGCCCTTTTCATTAGTTTTTCTTCCACTCAGGAAGTGGGGCGCGCTGAAAATGGTATCATGCATAAATTCTGCTGGGACTTTCATGAGACCAAAAAAGTTAAAGCAGACCAATGAAAACAACATTTAAGCGCCACTAGTGTCTTTCTTTACTAATCATAGATTAGCTGCTGATTTTAGAGCAAGAAAATAACATTTAAAAACCTTTGCACAGTATTAAAGGTGGGATTTTTAAGTGATGGAGGATAAACATCTGTTTAAATTGTTAACAGTTAAAGCATCTTCTTTGTGATTTTCAGAACAATAAAAGTTTTCAGGTTTGATCCTTTTGTACGATGTTTTCTCATAAGGTTTCCAGAGATTGTCACACCCACTGTTTAGTTTTAAAATATATTTGGAATCCAGTAATGAGTCTCTGGTGGAGAACCGCTGCAGTCCCTGAATGCATCGATGATTTACAGAAAACACAGAGCACCAATTGACAGATGAGCAGTGACTTCATCAGGGTCCCTTCTAGCCTCTAGATGGCGCCCTGCAGCTGCTCCTGCAGCACACCATGACGTGAGAAGAGTGACATCAGACTTGTGCAGATGTTTGCACAAACAGCTTTTCTTTTCATTCTTAAACTGTTTAGCTAAGGAGGAAGTCATTGCAATTTAAAACAGGAGCATAAGATAAAGAAGATCTGGGGTAAAACTGCTATTCTGCCTGATGAATCTTTGATTATCTTCTAGATGTAAAGTAAATGAAATGGCAACTCAGGAATGACAAACTACCCATTGTATTTTATTTCATTCAGTTCTTGTAAATTAACCCAAGTTTAAAAAAAAAAGAAAAGAAATCTTTAAAAAATAAATATCTAGTCTCTTTTTCTGATTCTGGATGAAATATTTTGCATCCTTGTATGTGGAGGTGAAAGAGACACACCAAACCTCAGCTGCTAAGACCATGAATCACACCAGAAGAATTAAAAGCTGCTTCAGATGGAGATAAATAATTATTAATAGTGTCCAAACAAGATTAGAACAGAAACCTGACTTGCAGCAGCTGCACTTTTAGACCTGCGGCTGCTGCTCTGTCAGATCAGCATACACTTAGTTTTTATCTAACCTAAAAATAATTCCGATTCACAATTTAAACCACAGCCAACGTTTTCTATTATTATAAACATGAAAACAAAATCTAACCAAATTAAAATTCCCACACATGGTTTTAATTACTAAATAACTTATTCTAAATTAATATTGACTAATGTGGTTTTAGCTATAGAGGCTTCAACATCTTGGAAACTTCAATCATGTCTGGCTGTTTCTAAATCCAACAAATAACAGTATAATCAAAGCTTATTTCCTTTTGTTAGAGTTAAAGGTATTGTAGAGGAGTTTCGCAAATTTTTTAAAAGAACCGCCCTCTCCATTAAAAAAAGAATGCACATGCACAACCCTGTACCCGCTACGGAGAGGGAACGCCTATTAAATGCGTGCAAGAGCGTGCACAAGCCGGTTTCTCCTCATGCACGCTCTGTTTAAAGGTTGCTGTTCTCATAGCTCATACAAGCTTACTGTGTCCGAATGTCTGCCCTACTCCCTAAATCAATATGTAGAGCGGGGACTATATAGTGGACTTTATAGCAAACTCAGTTAACTGACCGTTCGGACAGATGATCACTGCTTTTTGCTCCGTTGGTCACGTGATTCCTCCTCCGCAGTGCGGTGCCTGCACCATCTTTGTTATTAGTCGCCGCTGTCGGGTAGCGACAGCGGGCCGCTGGGACAGCAAATAACACAATGCTTTGTGAGGAAAGCTCTCCGCGCAAAGCATTCTGGGATACACAGCCCCCTTTTGAGGCCTTTCTTTTCTTGTCATACACTTCATAGACTCTTTTTCTCTTATGACCCTCGGCAATTTTGAAAGAACCGCGGTGAGAAAGATGAGCTTCAATAACGGTCTGAAACCGTAGCTCATCAGATATATGCCTAAAAGTGCGCATGCGCACAAAAAGATAGCTAAGGGGACGAGCGCATAGGATCGCCTCACCTTAACATATCACCAGAATGATTGACAATTAGGAGGACCACTTATTTAAATGATCCACATGTAAAATAAAAGACTGCCCTCTATACCTTTAAATTAAAACTTTTTTGTCTGGATGGTACACTGCTGCTAAAGATCAATGGGGGAATAATTCTCTGTTGCACATGTGCTCCCATGCATATTAGAACAATGTATGCTGATCTGATAGCACAGGCTGTTCTGACAGAACAGCGCTGCATCTGAATCACTTTGAAGATGCCGTTAGAGAAACAACTACCAACAGCGAAATTCTCAATGCTATTCGCTTGTAGAAACACTGGGCAGAAACACTGGAAGCCATTAGAAGTGTGAAAGGGGATTGAGGAAGACTCGAGGAATATCACGAGACAACAGCTTGAGCAAACGGTGATGGATTTAGAGCAAGATTACAAGTTATGAAGACAGAAACTTTTTCTTTACTATTACTGTTAAGCACAAAGTTAAAATGTTTCTGGATTCTAAATTCCTTTCCACTGTCGCCACATGCTTGTTCAGAGAAGTCAAAGCCTTGATTCAATCAACCAGGCTTCCTTAGTGTGGTCACTGTTTACCAGATTGGTCTCAATTTAATAAGATTAACTGCCTCTGATTGTACTGTTTCACTTTGATTTCAGCTTCCTCACTCTTAATATGTGGATGAGCCACTGAGCAAGGCAATTACATGTTATCTACCATCCTACATATTACTACACGACCTGTCTCCGACACCATCGACACCTCTGAGGTACATGTTCTCTAAGCTACTATGGCTTCCTAATCAAAGTTCTGCTCATATCCTTAGTAAAAATATTCTGCTCTGACACATCAGCACATTGACAGGACATTGCTGCAAGAACCTCAACAAGACCCTTTGGTCCATTTAAGGAGTCCAAATCCAGCCTGAAAATGAATGAAATCTGCTGTAAGTCTGATATCACTCTTCAAACTCTCTGAGGTGTGTTGTTGATGAAATTACTAACCAAAACATCTAACACTGACCACACTTAGTACAACAGTTTGTGAAACGGTTTCTGGCTCAGACCGAATCCAGGACTCGGGAATCGCTGTGACAAAAAACATGTGCAAAAATAAATACGAGTAGAGCTGCACAGGAGGTGCCAGATCTGAGGGAAGGTAACGTGTTTTTTAATTGTTTGTTTGTTCGTTTTTCTTTCCTGAGAAAAAGGCGCAAATGTATCTGAGTGTCACTAAGTGCGGTGGAGCATGAACAGGTGTAAAGATCATCTTGTCCTCTTGAGTCTGCAGTTTTTATTCCAATGATTCCTCTTCGTTATCAAGAGAATCGGGATACGTAATTCTTCACCAGACTCACTCGTTCCTGCATCCGAAGAAGTCCACGCCGATGTAGCGAGGGTATCCCTCCAACGAGTTCATGCCGACAGGATCAAACTTCCAGTACTGACGTCCTCGGATGAAATGGGCAAAGCCTGCAAAGTGGAACGAGAAAAGATCGTTTAATTATTTCGGGAAACTAAGGAAGTATGTAAAGATGCATCCAATGACATCCCATCAGAGTGAATGGAACTGCATCAGAGGGATCATATTAGAGTGGGTTAAATGTTGTTTTTTTTAAACAGCCACTCAGCATTTTATATGATTTAAAGGTCCTATGACGTGCTAAAGTTTATCTGAATAAGATCTAAAGATGGTTTTCAATGCAAATGACCTTTATACAGTTTGCACTCATACCAAGACTACTTACGTAAAATGTTTAAGACTATCAATCATTATCAAGCTTTCAGCTTCAATAAGGTTACATTCGGGGATGTTGGTCCATCGTCTTTCACACAATAAATAAAAGAAACAACAACAAAATAACGCTGCAGCAGAGGAAAACGGCAGATTTCAGAGCAGCTGCGCTGCCATCTGCAGAGAAGGAGCCTGGTGTGTCTTTGCACACAGGAACAGAAAGACATGGATCAACCCAGACCAAAGATAGCGATTAAACTTTAATACTGACTCTGACCACAAAATTTTTAGTTCCAGCTAATTATCTATTAACATGAGGTGGAGGTTTGCTCTACTAAACATCACTGCAGTCATCATGAGGGAGAGAGAGTGGATGAACTTGAACCTGAGCTTAATGCTCTGGTTGTATTTAGCAGTGTGGGAAAAAATCGTTTTGCCGATATATTGTGATTTTTGGCTGCCTCATATAATATCGATCTTTCAGTTCCTAGAATCGATTTTTAAAAAACCAACTCTTTCACCTAAAAAAATGAGGGAAAATGGGCTACCTCTGCATCGGCACTCTGGCAGCCCTTTTGCTGTGTGGCGCAGCGCCATACCAGTAGTTGAGGCAGTCACAGTGAAAGACGTGGACTGACTCTAACCCCAAACAACATGGATACCAAAACAACTAAATGATCAATATCATCTGATAAACATATACAGCACTTGGTCTTTTATCTATACATTTCATTTTGATAGCTGGGAAAAATATGGCAACACATATTGCAAAATTGTGATAAGTTGTGATAGTAAACAATAGAAATCCTCTCTGACAGCTTCGAGCTAGATTTGCATCAAGGTATTAAAAATATCTGACCCTTAGTTCAGTCAGAATCAAATCATCTACTCTTAATGTAGCTAAAAACATTAATAAGTCCTTTAGATCGTCACATGGCTGCAGCCAGTAAATTTCAACAAATACTTCGTTACTTTAGTACACATTTTAGTTATCTACACTTTACTCCATTACTTTTTTTCTTCCTACTTCTGACTTCTACTCATTACATTTTCACACAAGTATCTGTACTTTATATTCCTTACATTTTTAAGACAAATGTTACTCGTTACTCTTGGCTTCGGTTTTATGTTTATAAATACTTATTTCACATCATGTGCGCCATCCAATGCAGATCATTGGCTCCATCCACATCTAGTGAAAACTAGTGTGATTGGATGAGTCATTGAACGCAAACACTCATTGGTTAGCTAAAGGAAATCATCAGAAGCAAGCAGGTGTTCTTCAAACAGCAAACGTGAATTGTCTATGCCATGCTACAATGTCGGATTCAGAAAAAGATGTTGAAATGTCTGAAAGGTCGGACACAGGTGAGAGCGAATTGGGAGACGGAGACCAACAAGACCTCCCTCATCCATGGCCCTATCTCAAAGAATTTTCAAAATAGTCGAAAAACTGAACTTTCAATTCATATACATCTGGCTGTTTTTTTAAAGGTTACTTTATACTTTTATACTTTAAGTAGTTTTGGAGCACATACTTTTTCACTTTGACTTGAGTAAAGAGGTCTAGATGATACTTTAACTTTTACCAGAGTGTTTTTAAACTACAGTATCTATACTTCTACTTAAGTAACAAATATGTGTACTTTTTGACACTACTGCAAAAAACTATTTTTTGATGGATTCTGGTAAAGAGGTGGTGAGCAATCAATGTGACAGACTGCTGGTCAGAAACTGATGGTGGATGCAGTTTAACCTGGGCTCGTTATCGAAGAAAAGAAAAAGCTATTTTTCCTTCATACCGTGTATGTCCCTGAAGGCAGCATCCACGTCCTTGGGTATACCTCTCCAGTACTGCATGCTGCGTGGGTGCGGGGACTCAACCCGGTTCTCCCGGGGACTAAACCTCCAGTAGCTACCGGACCTGAAGAAGTAGGTGTTGTAGTTGGGGTCGTGACCCCAGCGAAGTGCGGCCTGGATGCTGGGTACGGACAACCCTAAATTTCTGATGGACTCAGGCCCCCTGATGTGCATCTCAGCGTCAAACACCCAGTAGTTATCTCCTGCAGAGACCAAAAATGATTGAAATCTGCATTTCCATTGATGCCTCGTTGAGACTACAAGAATCCCTAAAGACTTTAATAGAGATTAAATGAAAATGAATAATTTCAATATTATTTATCTTAATGTATCGTTTCAAACTAAATTATCATCCAGGGTAAAATTCAGAAACCTTTTGTTTAACAACAAATATTGAATCATATTTACAAGTTATCCATAAAAATGTTTCTATGTTTACTGCTTTTTTGTACATTCAGCTCAATGCTGTGTTTAATACCAAACCCTGATTCAACCAAATTTTAAAACTGGAAATAAAGGTCTGTGTCTCATCTTTCTTATCTCCTTAAATACTATAAAAAATTTCAAATTCAGCTTTTTCCCCCAAGATGTTGTGGTGGGAGGTTTATGGAAACCCCTTTTAAATCCATAAAAAGTGTTACTGCACCTCAATCACTGTGCAAACGCACCTTGGAAGAACCAAATGTTTCCCGATTTGTCCTCAAAGGCGGCGTCAATCTTGCTGGGGATCCCCTTCCAGTGTCGGGAGGCCAGCGCTGGGTAACCACTCTCCAGGCGCCCAGATCCTCCGGGGTCCCTGATTCTCCACACGTAGCCCGACTTAAAAAAGAACAGCTCCCCTCGGATCATCGAGACGGCGTCAAAGTCTGTCTGGCAGGCGTCGGGCTGCAGATAAAACAGACAACGTTATAATTCTAAAGAAAAAACCACTGGAAAGCAAAAACCAATCAAACATATACACCACTATATTTATATGAATACCAACAACAAAAACATAATAAAAACACTTTATAAAAACAAATAATAATTTACTGTACAGGTTTACTTTTCGTACGTAAATCTTGTCCTTCTGAGGCTTTGTGAAGGCAAATCTGTGTTTTCCAATATTGTGTCGCAAACTTAAAAAAAACAACAAAAAACAATTTACCAGTTTAGTCAGCTTTATATTTTTTTATATATAAAAACTATTTATTTCTGAGAATGTGTTTATTTATGAGGAACTATGCAAATTAACAAACACCTAGAAAGAGTAGACTATAATTTTACAGATTGTTCGTTATTCTAAGTTCGTTATAAGCCTTCTTGCAAAAGATTTTTGCGCCCTTGGGTGGAAATACGTCACCAAAATCGAAGAGAAATGGAATGAAGCTTTACTAGTCATGAAAGATTTAAAATTGATCTTGCACATCTAAAAAATATATAGAGATATATTTTGAAATATTTTATATTTTAATTTAAAATAAAAAATATATAAATATATATATTTTTTTATTTCTATGTTCTAATCAGGGCCATTGGGTGTAGGGCAGCACACTAGCGCCCTCTATTGGCCAGCTGCCACTGCTGGAAAGGATTTCTACTAATGGAGATAAAGTGATAATAGGGCCTACTGGCTGATTCCTACCTGACTAACGTTCATCTGTTTCCTGAGGTACAAACTCATGTTTGTTTAACTGATAAAATGCATTGAAGGCAAACATATTTGCATGTTTGAATCTTTAAAGGAAAATGAGGCAAATGTGTTTTTAAGTAGGTCATTATTCAAATTACCACAGGCTGCACTCACATTAAGGTCGTTGGTCTCTGTGTTGGTAGGCCGAGCCCGTGGAGCCGGGGTTGGCGGTGGGGGTAGGACCTGTGTTTTAGCTCCGTACAGGTACTGGATGCCTTGCTTGTCGTCCTCGCTCAGCCTCAGCGGGTAGGAGAAGGAATAGTAAGCGGACATTATGCTTTTTGGTTTACGCGAATGCTGCAGGCCCAGTACATGCCCAAACTCATGAGCGGCGACCTGCAGAAGGTCTGTACCTGCAGGGAGGAGGGGAGAGTTCATACGGGGTCTGAATACAGGTGAGTGTTTGTTTTGACCTGCTTAAAGCAGCAGACTGTGGGGATTTCGCTATTTGAGTCACCTGAGTCAAACAAGAAAAAAAGGCCCTTTACCTGCTGATTCACACCTGTTCTCACTTATCTGCTCACGTCAAACACACATATATCAGACATGTTAACCTTTAGATAATCATTCATCATACAAACCTTTTACCAATTAAATTTTTAAACATTATTTAAAAAAGTGGTTAACCTCTTTGTTTTACTGGTTTGCTTCTTCTTGCACATCATACATACTATGATTCACATGCACATGATAAACTGTAAATACTTTAACGGATTAACAGCTTTTATTATCTGTTTTTTTTTATTTCCTTTTTTGCTGCAAATCACCTGTAACTGTCTGTAAAAACGGATCTGAATCCATTCAGTCCTTCTACATAAAGAAGGCAGGTTTCTCTGCTTTAGCACAGCTGATTCAGAGAATTGCAGTTCAGCAACATCCTGTTAATCAGCCATCAATTAAAATCAGTTGTGCTGGAGCAGATGTTCTAACTTCTAACCCTGTAATCCCACATCCTTCGTAACCAGGCTGCTCCTGACCGCCTGTGCAAAGCAAAGCCTCCAGCCTCCCTGTTCCTCCCGTCTTGCTCTGCTCCGACTTCCTCAGAGTTCGAGCAGAGCATTCGCGATATTATTATTAAATCACAGGAGAAAAACATGCAATAATGAAAACTTAATTTAATATGACGTATAAAAAAAAATCCCATCCGCATATGTGCAGTTTCTGCCCTAATATTTTCTTTTTGTTGTAGATTTTTGTAACAGGGATAACTAGGCTCATACATGGTTTGTATGAACTACTTATGTCTCTACCTGTTTCTCTTCATCCACGCCTGCGATAAGAAATTTCTTTTGAAGTTGTCTGAGGCGCTGTTGGGCATTTTGACTGGATTTGATCAATTTTTTTAGCCTCTCGGTATAAAATTAATATTTTGATTAAGATGAGAAATCAGCTTCCTGGTATGTTGAAGTACCAATAGTTTGCATCCAATAATTTAAACAAACGGTCTTAGTTTTTGGGAATATATAAGAATTATGCTGTAATTTGTAGTTACCGATCTGTGGTTACCATATTTTAATATGATAAACTGGATCTTCTTGCCATTCTTTGTCCTGTTTATTGCGATTGCAATTCCGGATCTTGACCTGGTTGGACCGGAGTGGAGCAAAAAATAACTCGGCTCCTTATTTTAACTGGGACGGACGGAGAAGACGTATGTGGATGGTGACGTGCGGAGGAGTAGCGGTGGATGTGGAACAGTTCTCATTGGTTAACATGAAAGTATTCCGCACGATGTAGGTTAGCGGGGTGGAGCAGAGCGCTGATGGAGCAGGTGGACAGCATCCCTCAAGGACTGACTTTGGGCATCAATCATATAGAGCAACTAATAACAACAAATACTGGAATTAAATGACTTGATATGCCTTGTTTTGTGCAAATAATACTTTACAAATAGGTTGTGGGTTTTTTTTTAGATAGTTTTCAGTCTGATGTGAACATTGACTTAGCCAGAAATAGCAAACAGAATAGGCAGTTCTGCTTTATATTTCTACACATCATCAAGTTATTTGTTATTAAATATATGAGGAAAATATACAAATAAGACACACATTTCAGGTCTGATAGTATTTTTGATACATAGAAGCATACATTGTTCACTTTTAACAAAGTTTCTAACTTTTAGAGCAAACTTCACAGTAAGAACAAACTCACAGACACAAACTAAAGTGATCCAAACACTCACCCATGTGATTCCCCAGGGTCCAGGTCTCGTCGTAGTCAAAGTGAATGTCGCCCTGTCGATGTGTTTTTGGGAAGAAAGCATGCGCTAGAATCCCACCCGGACCGTCAAACGGGAGGCTGTCTCCGTGCCAGTAGCTGCATATGAATGAAACAAACACACCAATCAGAAACAAACTACTTTGTAAAAAGAAAAAAAAAAGATAAATCTCACACAAGTCAGAAGCGATTAAGTATTTTTTTGGCGATTTTATCAATAGTTCTTAATATCAAACTGAAATAAGTGCATAAAATTGACTTAAACATTCTGTTGAGATTAATCTGAGGTTCACTTTGTCACTTTAGCATTTCCGCATAAACATTTCTGGGACAATAAGCTTTAAATGCAATGATTCAAACGGGAAAACCACAGAAATTATTACAGAATAAAAACCCAGAGTCAGCAGATACCAATCGCACATAAAGCATTAGTGTCAGCAGAGTGGTGCCTGCTTGTCCCCTCTTGCTCCATTATCTCTGTCCTCATCTTTACAGCTCTGTAAATCTCTTTGTAGCACAGCTGTTTGCCAGAGTCTGTTTGGCTGGTGTAACAAAAATTATCAACATGTTTTTATCCAGAACACAGTTTAGACCAACAGAAGTCCACTTTTATCTTAACAGTTGCTCCTATTTAATATTTGTCTTTCAAACAACAAATATTAAAAACAAGAATTGTTTTAACAACTTGAAAGAGTATTAAAATATTAATTTGTACTCGTCAAAGTTTTTTTCTCAATTATTTTTCCACTCACTAATGAAGGAGAAGAATCTCTCCTTCCACCGTCGAGCCAAAGGGATTTTTCTGTGGGAATAAATCAAGCCTGTTCTACGCTGAACAATGCAAACACTAACATGCAGCAATTTCTAAGCTTTATTTAATGTTCACAGCAAACAGAGGGTGATCCTCTCTGGTTCTGAACATGGGGACACCTCAGGGCTGTGTGCTCAGTCCACTCCTCTTTACTTTGTTCATTCACCGCTTTCCACCCCAAAAACATACTTGTGATTAATACAACCATGATGGATCTCAACAACAACAAAGATGAGACTCACTGCACAAATGAAATCCACCATCTAATCCAGTGGTTTTCAGAAAACCTTGTCCTGACCAGCTGTCATGATTTTGGCACTGATGGCTGGCTTGATTGCTCATTTCTTTCACCTGTCTAGCTCTGTCCTGTTCCTGATCAGAATCACCTGTTCCAGATTCTTATTTAAGCTCCCTGTTTCCCAGCCAAATGTGCCAGATTATTCTTGAGCATTTTTTGAAGAGAGTTTTCCAGGGTACTTATTGTCCTGATTATCCGATCCTGACCCGTTTTTGCCTTTGGACTTCTGAGCCTGCCTGTCCCTCTCTTATTAGTTTCGCCTGCCTGTCTCCGGTCTCCTGTCTGTTCTGCAGCCTTCCATGTCTGGAACTCTCTGGCAGCATCTGCTGCTTCTGTTGGGTCAACCGACTGGAGCCATAGCCATTCTTTAGACACTGGATGGAGCTCTTAAACAAGGTTAGTGACTCACGCATAAATAATCATCCTCCTTCAGATTATCGCAGTCACTAATCTGTGTTTCTCTCCCACAGAGCTTCAGTCATAGATGCCCTAACCACTGAAACCGCAGATTCACAGCCCGCTCTTGTATTCAGAATAAACGCTTTTAAGTAATTCACTGTCTGTCTCGCTTGAGCTCTGGCTACTACGTTCTGAGCATATTACACTAGCAAAACCAAGTAAGCTAATGTGGATATCAGTAATGTCCACAAGTATGTATAAAGCCATGTTCCAGATACACATAGAGGCAGTAAAGAGTGAGGATAACATTAACATCCTGGGTTTTCACATCTTCTCTGACTTCTCAAGAACTCATAACACGAAGACTGAACAGAGCCTCTTAAGGGCTGGTTATCCCCCCGAAGCAGTGTGTCGCAGTGAGCTTGTTGCAGGTAGTTTTGATTTATGCCCAGTTTTGAAGCATGGTCTGCACTATAGTATTCCACGGCAAAATGCAAGACGGACAATCATGAACTAGCCGTGGGTCTAGATATGGCCGAGGCGGTGAGGAAGTGGGGGCAAGTTTGTGTGACAAGGCAGGGACATAACACGCACCTCGCTCTTCTAGCTGGTCCAACTTCGCAAGTCGTTTTCCACAATGGCGGTCATACAAACAAAACAAGCCAGTAAGGTTCCAAACAGGAAATACGCATAGTGTAGAGTGGTTGTAGATCTGACCAATCAGAAGCCTCCTGTCTGCGGTCACCTACAATTTTGGAGAGGTGCATCAGAGCGTCTGCGGAAGGAGCGGGGGGAACATTTGCGTTCACTGTGGCATACACGCAGACGACCTGGTTTCTGAGTATAAATCAGATTTTATTCCTCAGGAAAAGTATAGGACCATCCTTCAAAGGGCTCATTATCTTTTTGATGAGCCACAACAGAGTGCATCTTATGTCGAAGTGTAACACTGTGGTACTGAAGCTTCATGGCACAGGAAAGAAACCGCCTTGACGAGGTGATTAAAAAAACATGGGATGTCCACGCCATAAACACCGGCTGAGATTAGAGGAGACCCACCAAAGCACAGCCTGTTTAAAGCACGTTCTTCAGGAAAGCAGAATCATCCGGAAAAGGACTAACAGGTTCAAAACAGACTAAATTTACATTTTGCTGCAGTTTTTTGCTCATCACTGTATGTTCTTTGTGTTGTTTATTCAATGGAAACAATTCCACTTTGTATTAGCTTCTGCTTATGCATTTTGACAAAGAACATTCATATCCCCTTTATCTTATCCTCTTTTTTAAGAGCAGCAGCTTTAATGAAACCTGAAGCTCCTCAGGCCTCTTGATGAGTTAAAAACTTCTGCTCAAACTCTGAGTCTGGGATCTGAACTTTGCAGATTCTCTAAACATAAGATCATCTCTACTGGATCAGTACCAAATAAACAAGGCCTAGTTGAATCATTGTCGGTCTCTGCTAAAGCCAAACATTGTTGACCAGAACCAGGAGTGTGAATCTGTGAAGTCGACTGGATCAAGCTAATTCTCTTCAGGCATCTTAAAGCGTTTGGAATAAAGTTAGGGACAGTTACAGTAGTATGAGGTAAGACGTCTATCCTGTTTATGGATGATTCACAAGTAAGTAGAATTTGTGCTTAAATGAAAAGTAAATGTGTACTAAATGAAAGTAAATCTCAAAGAGGAGGAGGCGCCCCCTAGGGAAGACAGATGTAATTGCAGGGGGCCGTGGCAGAATGAAATGGAATATACCGGGCCTTTTTGAGAAGTATTTTATAAAGAAATTATTGATAGCAATGCTAAATTCTGTCACACAAAACAATAATGAATTAAAAATTAGAAAGTTTAAACGTTAGTTTTGTGTTTTAACAGACTTCAGTATGCAGTTTATTTTTCCTTGTCCAAGCGTTGAAAAGGTTTGTCGTTAACTTGTAAATCAAAGGTGTCCCAGCAAATGGAGTTTGGGGACCACTATTCCAGAATAGGATGTGTTTATTTTCATGCAAAAGCAAACTTTCAAACTAAAAGTCAGAATGAATAGAAAACATGCATCTCGTTCCGTTTCCGCTTTGAGCTGTTACCTGGAAAAGTCGATCCGGATATCCGCCATCCCTCTGCGGACCTCGGTGAAGGTGAGAGGTGTGACATCACTCCAGATCTTCACCGCCTCCCGAAACACACGCCGCACCTTCTCCTCGTCCATTTGCCAGGGGAAACGTACAATCCTGCAGGAAATCAGCACAGGTGTCAATGTCAACGCATAAACACAACAAGCACGGCGGCGGGGAGGGACCACCAGCGACGATATCTCTTATCTCTGCAGAGATGGAGGGGAACTGTTACTGATCTCTTTCCTAACTGTTCAGATAACAACCACCCAGAACTAGGAAAACCATGCAAAATGGAAGCATTAAACCAGCTCAAATCTTTTCCTTTTTTTCATAAATCTGTCTTAGAAAAGGCAAAGTTATTCGTTCTGATAGCACAGAGGATCGAAGTGACTACATCAGTGGTTTGTGCACTGGGTCAGGGTTGTTTTTAACTTGTGAGCTACCAGCATGATGTAACTCAGGGAATTGTACATTTTTAAGCATGTGGGTTAATGTCGGAGCAGTCACAACACGTTCCGCTTGCATTAATTACTGCTTTTCTACAGCAGTGATATAAAAGCTGGCTGAGCTGACCAAGCATGTTATTTTGCCCCAGGATGTCAAACTATAATTTTTCTGTTGCATAGAGACAATAAAAGGTTAAACAAACATGATAAACGGGGTTAGCTGGGGATATTTAAAAGGGACATTTTCTGTGTCCGCTCACATCTCATTCTAGCTGATAAAAACATTAGAAAACTCTGAAAATAATTAGTTTGAACATGACTATCAAAACACTGTTGCAACCTCAGTGTAATTAATCAGCTGTCTTGCATCCTTCATTCGTCTGTTTTGAGTTTGAGGTACAGGTTGAGACTTGAGAACATATGATGGAAAGACTGCAAGTACTGAACGTGGAAGAGTTCAGGTATCTGCAGGTAGATTAAAAAGATGAAGAGGAAGGTGTTCAGACATAGTGGGGGGGATGGAGAGCAGAGTTATTGGGGGATTTGCAATGCATTCTGGGATATATCTGCCTATTCTGAGGCCTTTCTTTACTTCTCCTACACTTCGAAGACAATTTTTCTCTTACGACCCTCTGCCATTTTCAGAGAAGCGTGGTGAGAAAGGTGAGCTTCAATGACTGTCTGAAACCGTAGCTCACCACATATATACGCCTAAAAGTGCGCATGCGCAGAAAAATATTGCTATAGGTTGACAATTAGAGGACCGCTTATTTAGATGATTCACCCGGAAATAAAAGATCATCCTCTGTACCTTTAAATTGTACCTACTGTGATTTTGTGTGCTGTTGCCCCTCTACAAATCTCAGTTACTGCACCCTCCTAAATTACTATGAAATGCTATTGGAGTCTAATTGGAAAATGTGTTTTATAACAACACATAAAAGGAAGTAAATAAAACTAAAAAGATCAATCTATTAACAGAGGATTAAACATAATTCAAATATTAGAGTCACTGAGTTTCCCATAAAGTTTCAGCTTTTTTTGTCTTCAGATTATGTTCAGGGTCAGACTTCCTCTCCTGCTTCCTGTCAAACACTCAAAACGTTAACATTTTGCAGCCATCTGGGACGTCCTTCAGTTCAATTTAACTGTTAAAGCAGTAAAAACAAACACGGCTCTAAACTCGCCCTGCGTGACTTCGCGCTTTACGCAAGAACTTCTTCCAAAAGCTCAAATTAGTGACCGATTCTAAATAAGACTAAATACAGGAGGAAAAGAGCATTGAGTGTAAAAAGCCTAGAGTAGGTGGGGTGCAGTTTGACCTGGTGGGCCATTGCCATGGTTCTTGTTAACCACATCACTCAGGTGTCACTTATATCGACGAGATCCAGCAGAATCTAATTAGTCTGCGGCTAGTTCTGCCTCCTCCTCCCCCGTCCTGCTTTCTTTCGGTGTGCCCTAATATGCTGTTATGTTAAAGAATGAGTACAATGAGAGGGACCCCAGGAGAGGCAGACAGAGAGGCAGCAGCCAGCAGACGCCGGCCGACTCTCGACGGTGCCACAGTCCCAGATGAAAGAAAACCAGCACCTCTTTGTAAAAATCATAAACCTATGACTTCATTTCAGATTGTTCTATCTGCTTTCTCGTCTTTCATTGCTTTTCTTAAGTCTGTCACTCATTTTTTTGATATTGGGCTCCAGTTAAGCTAGCTGCTGCTTTAAAACCTACTTATCAGCTGCTGTTTGGTCCTGAGAAAATTATTAAGTTATTTTTGTTCCCTTGTGGAAACATCTGCTCACTGCAGCTGGAAACTCAGGGACGCTGTGTAAGCTGCAGGTTTTAGTCAGAATCTTCAGGTCAAAACAAAAGCAGCTTTAGAAAATGTTCACTGTTTAGAATCGCATTAATTCCGTAAAAATTCAAAAAAATATCAACTGGACTTGGTTTTCAAGATTTGAAGACGTTTCGCCACCTCTCCAGGAAGCTTTCTCAATTCAAATGTCATTCAAAGCTTTCTCAATTCAAATGACATTTGAATTGAGAAAGCTTCCTGGAGAGGTGGCGAAACGTCTTCAAATCTTGAAAACCAAGTCCAGTGGATATTTTTTGAATTTTTACGGAATGACTATGACCTGGATGACTGAGAACCTTCATCAGCAAATCGCATTAATAAACCTCTGCAATCCGTTGTCCATTGCTGCTTATCCTTGCAGGGTTGAGGGGGGTCTGGTCCCTATCTCCAGCGGGAAGTGGTTGAAGGTAGGATGCACCGTAGACGGATTATTGGCTCATGAAAGATACAGTTTTCTCCGGATTACCGGGAGAGAACTCAGGCATCCATGGAGGGAGCATACAAACCCCATGCAGAAAGATTAGGCTGGTTATTAAAGCCAGGACCTTCCTGCTGCAATAAAACAGTGCTGATAACTGGTGTTGCACCGATACCAGTATCGGACGGGGCCTCGATCCAGCACTAAAATGGTGGTATCGTATCGACGAGTACCGACAAATAGGGCACCGATACCATTTTGAAAGCCAAAAGTTTATCCAACTATTGTCACCCATTCCAGGTAGGCAATAAAAAGTTCTACTGGATTCACTTTGTATTAGTCTTTTTCCTGCTTCACAAAGGTAGGCAGCAGCTTGACAAAGCCATGATGGCAATTATTTCACATCAAAGTAGTATGCTGTTCTTCATATATACACGGTTTATGAAAACCGTCCGAACCGTTCGGTTCGACTGTCTCGGTTCGGTTCGCGTGTTTCGTTCGGTTCATGCGCTGCTATTTTTTCTCATAAGCGAAGCGTTTACTCTCCAGACCAGAAGGTGGCGGTACTGCGACCAAAGCCAACCACCAGTAGTAAACAAGAAGAAGAAGAAGAAGCGAAGCAGCGTAGCCTGGTGTAGCAGAAAAAAATCTGTTGTTGTAGAGAATTGTGTGGGTATGGCGAGTGGGAAAGAACAGGAGTTGGAAGACGCGCCAGCAGCACTTTATAGGTCTGCTGTATGGGACCACTTTGCATTTAGAGTGACCTACGATGACGGCGGAAAGAAAGTTGTGGATAAAAGTGCAACAGTGTGCAAGCATTGTGCAACACGTGTTGTTTATGCTAACAGCAACACGACCAACATGTCAGCTTAGAGATTTTACTAACAATCAACATATACTGAACCGAATGGAAAACCGTGACCACGAAACCGTGAACCGAATCGAACCGTGGATTTTGTGAACCGTTCCACCCCTAATACACACACACATCAATTTCAAACAGATGGTATCAGTATGGTATCGGTATCGGCCAATACTGCAATAAGATGATTGATTGATTGATTGACTTTATTGATCTCACAGCGGAGAAAACAACTCCTCACATCAGCCCAAATAGTCAAAGGAGAATGTACCAGAGGAAGAAAAAGGTGCATGGGATCCATAAGATATACAATGAGATAAGGGAGACACAATGCCAAGAAACAAAGCCTTAAAGAGTAAGCTTCTGCTAACTGCCGATCATTCAAGTTTTCCCAGAAGTGGACGTCTCAGTATGTGAAACGCCTGGAAACAGCTAAACATCCAAGTGCTCCATCCCTCATTTCAGAAAAATGTTAAAATGAATGTCATGACAGACAGAAAAATGTTAAGCAATATCAGCTTTGGAACAACTGAAGAGGAGTCGCTCTTCCGGAGAGAAAATATGGCTCAGGGTTAGCAATGCGGCGCCTGAATGAACCACAAGGCTGTGGTCCAATTAAACAGATCCACAATAGCGGATGCTTTTGACTGTAATTCACATCAACATGAACACCACAGCCTGTCAGCACAAACACAGACCGTTAAACATGGGGGTGGACAGTTGATGATACGAGTTTGTATTGCAGCAGAAGAGTTTAGGCACTTGGCAGACATTTACTTATCTATTTTAACATAAATTCCTCTGAAGTCAAATATCAAGACATCTGAAGCTTAACAGGACAATGATTTCAAACACAGCAGCACATCTTCAGGAACAATGACTGGAAAATAAAACCAAACATGTCGTTCCAAAACATCAACATAACCAAAATAATATACTGTGGTGGCGCCTTAATAATCTGAGCAGAAACAGATGTCAACATTTATCAAACAAATGAAGCATCACTGAGGAGAAGGCTGCCCCAGCCACCATGTGAAGGAAACTAATTTCAGCCGCTTGTATTTGCGATCTTATCCTTTCGGTCATTACCCAGATCTCATGACCATAGGTGACGGTGGGAATGTAGATCGATCTGTATATTGAGAGCTTTGTACCCAGACACGGTTCCTTCTTTAATTCAATTCAATTTCAATTCAGTTTATTTATATAGCGCCAAATTCACAACACATGTCATCTCAAGGCACTTTACAGTTCAACCAGATCATACAGTCAAATTGATACAAAGTTTTCTATCTAAGGAAAACCAGTTGATTGCATCGACTCAAATACAATCCCTCACACTAAGCATGCTTGTAGCGACAGTGGAGAGGAAAAACTCCCTTTTAACAGGAAGAAACCTCCAGCAGAACCAGGCTCAGTGTGAGCGGCCATCTGCCGAGGCCGACTGGGGTTCAAGGAGACAGAAGCAGAGATACAAAAAGCAGCTGTAAAAGGCGGCCCCGTCCAGGAAACACACAGCCAGGCAGACAAGCTCCAAGGCAGCTCCCATGCCAGAGGACGAAGAGAGCACATCCATCCAGTCACGGTCAGAGAAACAGGACCACACTGGAAAACAGGCCGATCTCCAACATCTATAAACAAGGGTGTTGATGGAAGCAGCACAGCTGATGTTTCTTTCCAGGATGACGTCACAGCCAAACAGGAACAGACGACTAACAGACGACTAACTATAGAGATAGCTCAGGATAACCTGAGCCACTCTAACTATAAGCGTTATCAAAAAGGAAAGTTTTAAGTCTAGCCTTAAAAGTAGACAGGGTGTCTGCCTCACGGACTAAAACTGGTAGTTGGTTCCACAGGAGAGGAGCCTGATAACTAAAAGACCTGCCTCCCATTCTACTTTTAGAAATTCTAGGAACCACTAGTAAACCTGCAGATTGAGAGTGAAGTGCTCTGTTAGGAACATAAGGAACAATCAGATCTCTGATATAAGATGGAGCTTGGCCATTTAAGGCTTTATATGTGAGAAGGAGGATTTTAAATTCTATTCTTGATTTAACAGGAAGCCAATGAAGAGAAGCCAGGATAGGCGAGATATGATCTCTCTTTTTAATTTTCATTAGAACTCTGGCTGCAGCATTTTGGATCAGCTGAAGGCTTTTAACTACAGTTTGTGGACTTCCTGATAGTAAAGAATTACAATAGTCCAGCCTTGAAGTAACAAATGCATGGACTAGTTTCTCAGCATCACCCCTGGACAGGAGATTTCTAATTTTTGCAATGTTCCTCAGATGAAAGAAGGAAATTCTAGAAACCTCTTTGATATGGGATTTAAATGACAGGTCCTGATCAAAAATAGCACCAAGATTTTTTACTTTATTATCTGAAATCAGTTTAATCCCATCCAAATGAAGTGACTGGCTAATCAGTTTCTTTTTCAGAGACTCTGGTCCAAAGACTATAACTTCTGTTTTATCTGCATACAGAAGCAGAAAGTTAAGAGTCATCAAGGTTTTTATGTCTTCAAGACATGCCTGTAATCTATGTAATGGGTTAGCTTCATCTGGATTTATAGCCAGATATAGCTGGGTATCATCAGCATAACAGTGGAAATTAATCCCATGCTGTCTAATAACTCTACCAATTGGGAGCATGTATAAAGTAAAGAGAATTGGTCCTAGCACTGATCCCTGTGGTACTCCACAGGTAACCTTTGAGCGTGTTGAAGATCTATCATTAACATGAACAAACTGAATTCGATCAGATAGATAAGATTTAAACCAGTCTAGTGCTGTTCCTTGAATTCCAACAAAATATTCAAGTCTTTCTAAAAGAAAATTATGGTCAACTGTATCAAATGCAGCACTAAGATCCAACAGGACGAGCACAGATACAAGTCCATTATCTGAGGCCATGAGAATATCATTAGTGACTTTCACCAGAGCTGTTTCAGTGCTATGATGGGCTCTAAAGCCAGACTGAAACTCTTCAAAAAGTTCATTATGGTGTAAGTGATCGCAAACTTGTTTGGCAACTACTTTCTCAAGAATTTTGGATAAGAAAGGAAGATTGGATATAGGTCTATAATTAACCAAGTCATCTGGGTCAAGAGACGGTTTCTTAAGCAGAGGTTTAATTACAGCAACCTTAAAAGCTTTAGGTACATATCCCTGTAACAGAGATAGATTAATCACATCTAAAATGGAGGAGGAGATCAAAGGGAATACCTCCTTAAATAACCTGGCTGGAACTGGATCTAACATACAAGTTGAAGGCTTAGATGAAGACAATAATTTAGCTAATTCAGAAAGTTCAACTGGATCAAAGCAGTCTAAACCCGGTTCAGATTCTGTGACTACCTCAGGTACAATCGCGGATAGAGGAGTGCTTATGATTTTATTTTTAATAAGATCAATCTTATTTATAAAGAATCCCATAAAATCATTGCTGCTAAGAACAGGTGGAATGGACGGTTCAACAGAGCTATGGCTCTGGGTGAGTTTGGCAACTGTATTAAAAAGAAATCTAGGATTATTCTTATTCTCCTCTATTAATGAGGAGAACTATGCTGCTCTTGCTTTACAAAGGGTCCTCTTATACAGCATTAAACCATTTTTCCAGACTAGGAAGGATTCCCGCAGGCCTGTGGAGCGATATTTTCTCTCCAGTTTCCTAACATTTTGCTTCAAAGTACGCAGCTCTGCATTAAACCAAGGAGCAAGCTTTCTATTTTTAACGGTTTTCATTTTCAAAGGAGCTGCGTTGTCTAAGGCAATACGCAGAGAACTAGCAACCCCATCAACAAAATCATCAACCTGTGAAGGGAAATAAGCTATGCTTTTGCACTCTGCAGCACTGCTCAGCGACACAGAGGAGAGAGAAAGTGAAGCAGATTCTTTAAAATTTATAACTGCACTATCTGATAAAGATCTACTAAAATTGAACCTTCTTTTGGGGGAGGAGAACTCTGTTAAAGTAATCCTGAAGGTTATTAGAAAGTGGTCAGAGAGGACAGGGTTGTGAGGAAATACTGTTGTTTCTTCACATTCTATGCCGTATGTCAGCACAAGATCCAAAGTATGAAGATGAGAATGTGTGGGACTATTCACATTTTGAACAAAGCCAATAGTGTCTAAGATAGCATTAAAGGCTGCTCTTAAGCTATCGCCTTCAATGTCAGCATGGATGTTAAAATCTCCCACTATGATGACCCTGTCAGTATTTAATACCAAATCAGAAAGGAACTCTGAAAACTCATCTAAAAATTCAGAGTAAGGACCTGGTGGACGATACAAAGTTACAAAAAGAAGAGGTTTTCTTGCCTTGAAATTTGGATCAGGGAAATTAAGGGTTAAATGTTCAAAAGAGTTGTAGGTATTAACTGTTTTGGGAGTAATCAGTAAGTCAGACTGGAAGATTGTTGCTACTCCTCCTCCTTGCCCAGAACTTCTGGGTATGTGAAAATTTAAATAGCTTTAAGGAGTTGCCTCATTTATGCTCACATAATCCTCTTGCTGCAGCCAGGTTTCTGTAAGGCAAAACAAGTCAATGTGATTATCACAAATCAAGTCATTAACTAGTAGACTTTTAGGGGAAAGCGATCTTATGTTAAACAGACCGCATTTAATTGTTTTAACTTTTTCCCCAATTGGAGTTATTTTGATTTTAATTAGATTATCATGATTTACTCCTTTGGGAATCTTTGCTAATTTATTAGATTTTGGTCGTGGACAAGACACTGTCTGGATGGAGTAAAGAGTGGGTAACAGTAGAGAAGCTGCAGAGAAGTGTGTTAAACTACAACTCTGCTTCCTGGTCTGCACCCTGGGTGGTCAGGGTTTTGGAGGACTAATAAATGTGGCCAGATTCCTAGAAAGAAGAGCTGCCCCATCCAAAGTGGGATGGATGCCGTCTCTCCGAAACAGACCAGGCTTTCCCCAAAAGGATTGCCAATTATTAATGTAGCCCACGTTGTTTTCAGGACACCACCTAGACAACCAGCGGTTGAATGACGACATGCGGCTAAACATGTCATCACTGGTCAGATCAGGGAGGGGACCAGAGAAAATTACGGAGTCCTACATTTTTTTGGCAAACTTACACACCGAAGCAACACTAATTTTAGTGACCTCCGATTGGCGTAACCGGGTGTCATTACCACCAGCGTGAATAACAATCTTACTGTATTTAACCTTATCCTTAGCCAGTAGTTTCAGGTAGGATTTGATGTCGCCCGTTCTGGCCCCCGGCAAACATTTGACTATGGTCCCTGGTGTCTCTAATGCCACGTTTCTGACTATGGAGCTGCCAATCACCAGAGTGGGCTTCTCAGTGGGTGTGTCACTGAGTGGGGAAAACCGGTTAGAAACGTGAACGGGTTGGTGGTGACCAGTGGGCAGAGATCCACGACTACGCTTTCTGCGTACAGTTACCCAATCGCCTGGCTGCTCAGGCACTTTTGGAGGACAGCTACGTGGGGGGCCTACTTTAACTCCTGGATGTTCAACAGCCTGAAGCCTGGATTCTAACTCTGACACCCTCGCCTTCAAAGCTACAAAAATACTGCACTTATTACACATCCCATTATCACTAAAGGAGGCAGAGGAATAACTGAACATCTGACACAGAGAGCAGGAGAGAGGAGAGGAAGAAGGAAGAGTTGGAAAAGAGTCAAGGGAGGGAGAGAGAGAAGCCATAGCAATGCTAAGCTAGCGCTAGCCTAGGCTAGCTACTCCTTGCTATCAGAAATAAAACCGTGTGAAACTGACAAGCGCTCAGTAGAAAAGTACAGCAGAAGGTGCTATGTTTTAAAGTAGTCAGTTAGAGTTACTTAGATACAGAGATATCACAGAGAAAATAACTTAACTTCAGATGGAGTTCCTCTGGACAGCTGCAACAGCTGCCAGCTTTACCACGACAGTCCTATACAGCGACCGCATCACTGCAGACGCCGCACCGATCCGTCTGCCAATCTCACACTCCATCCGTCCCTAACTCATGAACAAGACCCCGAGATACTTGAACTACCGTTAGCTTAAAGTGGTTCATAATTTGCGCTAAATTACCCTTAAATATTCAAAGTATGCTGCTTTTAATGACAATTTAGATAAACACTGTAAATTTAACAAGCTAAAGTAGTGAATTTTGCCAAACTTAATCTCCCCTGTAAGAAACTGAATACACTGAGTCATCTTTAATAAAAATGTAAACATACTTGTAGGTAAGGTCCTTCTTATCAAAACGGCCTCCATGTAGCACGAAGCGTCTCTGGCGATGTCGCCCTCGGTACTGTACATCCTTCTGGCTGGGGAAGTCCGGTACGCCACAGCGAGGACGGTTCCAAGTATTCGAAGCATTAGTTGATGAAATCGCCTCCTTTACCAAGTCCTGGGGGTGAGGAGCCTTTCCTCTCTTCTTCAGGGCCGGGGACTTCTCAGAGGCCTGAAACAACAAGGAGTTCAGTTATCCTCCAACAGTGTTTAACACATGCAGCCAAATATTAGTTTTATAACTCAGATCTGTGTTTGGGTAAAAGATGACCTTTAATTGAATAAGAGTTCACTGAGTTTACTAGAGCTCGTTCTGCAGAGATCATGCATATCTGACCCACATTCAGCTTAATGACAGCTTGACCTCCTCACCAGGTCACAGATCCACGTACTTCCACCCCATCTATGGTCCCTGAGTGACCCATTATCCCTAATGCCCCCCTTCAACCCGATCCAGAGGAAATGACTCCACTCATTTCCACAGAAGCTGATTACAGAGCAGAGCCATCCCATCGCCACCTCAGTCCATACCCTCCGAGAAAAAAAAAAAAGACCTGCAGTCCGGGAGTGAACAACACTGCAGGGTGTACTCTCCCTATCAAGAAATGATATGCATTTCCCTTTCCGCTGCTGCTTCCAACAACCTGTGGGAAAAGACGGTATCATTTCATTGTGCTGAAATGAGACTAATTACCTCCATCAGTGGATCCTGCCAGTCTGATGCGAGCTGCGCTGTTACATAAGCTCTAATTCAGAGACTGCTGTTGTTTTCATGTCGTCTTATTTATGACATTCTGCAACAAGCATCACTTCAGCTCTAAGGAAATGATCCATTAAAGAAAAATACTTATCCCTTTTATACTTTTTAGATAAATGATTGGAGGATTTGACATCTTATTGGAAATGAATGTCATTTAAAAAACTAAGCTTTTTAGTTTTAACTTCTCCCTGCAATTCCTTCTAATTTCTCCACCTCTTAAGGCCAATCAGCGAACAGCTCACAGTCTATTAGATTGGTGAACCAGTGAATCCAACTAAAAAAATCCATCTTAAAATCAGAATCTAAAGAGCAATATAAAATGAACTGTTGGGAAAGGACAAAATAGAACAAAGTGAAACAGTTGAGGCCCAATCAGGAAAACAGATGCCCAGGTGAGGCAAATATGGAAACAACCAAGAAAGACCATAACAGATTAAATCAGAACACATGGAACAAGCCAACCTTTGCCCAAACAGAGAGCAGGGGAAACAAATAGAACAGAGATGACCAAGATAAGCCAACACAGAATCAAAGCTTCACCGCAGGAACCCACAGATGATGAGAGTGTCTCTTGGTGGTTCTGTAAGGTGAGATGTTATTTATGAAAGACCCACTGTGCCGGTGTTTCTTCCTCCTGACCTGTGACCTCTGTAAAACAAAATACCACTTAGAACAAAAAAAAAAGAAAGAAAAAAGTAGATATCTTCTTTCTTTCCCCTACTTTAAGAGTTGACCCATTAAATCTGTATGGACAGTATAATATTCCTCAGAGGGAAGCCAGACTCCTGTTTGTGCTGCGTTTCAACCAGCTGCTCCACAGTGTCGCTGATGTAGGTTTGAGGGAACAAAACCCAGCGGGATTCGTGGAATGTGCTCCAGATTGCAGAAACCGAGTGACTGATGGGTCTGAATCCCAGAAAAAACAACTGCACACACCTCACCCCCCTCCACTCTTCACCGGCTCCTTTGTTTCACTTTGTTTGGAGCAGATTTCAGCTGCTTATTCCACTGCACACAGCACTTATTCATGTCAGAGGGGATGTTTATGTTCACATCCATGCAGCTCAATCTAAGCGCCTTGTTGGCGCAAAATGAGATGCAGCTTCTAAACAAAAGACCTCAGAAAGGTCTCTATCCACCCGCGGAAAGCCTGCTTCTGGTTAAGCCTCTGCTTTGCTTTTGTACTGGAAGAAATGTGTAAGACCAGTGTGATATGGGCTACTATCTGCCTTCCTGGAACAGAGGCAGATAACATGTATAAAGACAAACAACTGAAGCCTTATCATGGGATAAAGCAGCTCCAAATGCCATCAATCTAAAGGTTCCAAGATAAAAAACATTGAGGTTAGATAGAAGATGTACATCCAGTAAAGGCACCGAGTTTAGCCTTAGGAGGGCACAGACGATCCAACAACGATCCAAAGGTCAGAGGTCAAGACGGTCCAGAGGACTGGTAGAAACCTTAGTGAACTAAAACATCCACATCTGTTCTTTATTTTACTTATTTCAACAGAAAATCTGCTCCCCAAATCAACAAGTGCATAAGATTTACACATCCTCCACACCAATGCATACTGCAGGTAGATGTGTGTAAACAGCACTAAAATTAAGCATCTTTTATTGGCTTTACATCATCAAAATGCAAATCTTACATCTTAAGGAAATCACAGGGCATTTGTTGAGGATAAAAAATCTAAGAGATTAGAATGGCAAGTATGTTTTTTCTGGTATCAGACTTTTTGAAACCACTGAAAGCTTGGCTTCGCTGGGTTTTAGGCTCGCCTTTTTTCCCCATCCTATGGCTTCGATGTATTGTCTGTCCGCTGGGATGGGGGATGGCTGGCATTGGATGGGGGTCTTGGACCTCATCCTGCCAGGGGAGCTGGTTGGTTGGTGTGGCTTTACGGGATACCACCACCATGCCTGGATGCATCTCAGATAGGGGTGTGGGTCTGTCTGGTTGCCTTTCCTGTGCCTGCAGTCAGGTGGGGATGCAGGATGCAGGGCTTGGAGAGGCTGTGAGTGGCTGTAGGGGGTTAGTGGTATATGGGGGGATGCCATGGAGGGGCTTTGGCCGGCTACGTCGTGGAAGGGGGGGTCCCTCCTGGGGTCGGGTCTGGGGCGATGTTTGGGGATAGGCTTGGGGTACACTGCTGTTTTCCTCTCTTAGGCACCGTCCACACGAAGCCAAACCCTGGCCTAAACGCACAAATTTTTCACCAAACCAGCCTCTCATCCATACGAAGCCTGCGTTTCGGGGTCTGTAAACGATCTTTTTTTTATTAAGCCTTCAGAGTGGGAAGATTTTGAAACGCTGTTTTCGCGTTTCCATCTTTAAGCTCTAACCGCATTTTTTTTTTACACGCATGCGTCATAGCGTCGCCTCTAAACACGCATGCGCGACACAGTATCACAACAACAATGGCGCCGTACTGTGTTGAATGGTTGCTGCTCATGCTACTCACCCTGCTGTCGGGCTTAGAACAGAATCTTCTTCTTCTGGAATATCTCCAGGAAGAACAGAGCAATATCGACGACATAGTTCATCACCTGAATTTGACTGAACCACGAAAATGGACCCGCAGGGCAACCATGTATAAATATTAGTGTGCATGCCCAACATTTCGTCGCCTATTTTTGCTTTGGCACCACAGCGCCACTTACAGGCCTGGCATACATTTTGCAGCGTTTTCATGCATTCGTGTGGACGATCACATTTATTTTACGTCTCTGTCTTTACGACAAACGTTCTCGAAAGTATTAGCGTTTCGTGTTCGTTCTGACTTCGTGTGGACGGGGCCTTAGTTTCGGAGCCTTTTCTTAAGCCGCCTGCCCCATTGACACTAGGGTGTCTGGTGATTTCCTAGGTGGAAAGGCCCCTAGACCCAGGAGGATAGTGTAGGAAAACGTTTTTGTCTCCGTTGACTGCGTCTCTGTGGACACTATATGTATACATTCTATATTATGGGTGGATTGTGCGAATGGGACGATTAGTGTGAATTTGTCTTTCTCTACTAGTCAGGTTGAGTGTTTGCCCCATTCCAACCTACTGGAACATTGTAGTTCCAAAGTACGAGCAGATGCCGTTCTCCCCCTTCTTATGCTCCGTGCCAGTCATAGGTGCCTGTGTCTGCTGCCGCGGTGATGGTTCTCTAGTTGTAGGGTTTGGTACTTCGGTGAGCACTGTCTCATTCCTAATGGCTGCCCTGCCGGGCCTGTGCCTCCTGGTCCTGGGTCCTTGGACCCCTAGGCTCTCATCTGGGTACACCTCGGATGTGACCAGCTGCCGGTGGATCCCATGGGCTTGCTGCTGCTGACCCTTGGGACCGCGGCACTATGAGGGTCGAGCCCCTCAGGGAATAGACCCCTTTGGGGTTTGGCCCCTCAGGGGTCAGCTCCAGGGGCTCTCGTCTGCCCTTCTCTGGAGTGTGCGACCATCCCATCTCGTCTGCCCTCCTTGTGTCCCTGTCATGTGGGGTGTCTCTTGATGTCTGGGGCTCGCATCCCCTCTCTGTCTGTCAGGGGCCCTGAAGGGCGAGTCTGGGGTCGCCCACACCTGCTATTTATCATATTTTCCTTCTGAAGAAGCTAGTTAAATCCTTTAAACCCGAGCATGCTAATATATACATACCACAGGAGTTTGGTCTAGGTGTTCACGGATACACACTAATACTAAGCTGCAGCTACAGAGATATACCACCCTGAATAATATTATGTACTCGCCATAGGTTTTGCCTTCAACATGCATGGTTATCTTAGGGACACCCGCTGCTCTTGAAGCTTTTTTTTGTTTACTTTGTTTGTCTGTTTTCTCCTTTTTGCTGGTGTTATGTTCTCTGTTTTTATATCCCCTCCTCTCATACAGGTATGGAAGCAGGCTTCTAGGAGTTGCTGTGTCACTTCTGTCTATTTTTGCTCTTCTGTTTTATTTTCTCACATTTTAGGTGCTATTTGCTGTCTCGATCTCTTTCTCTCTCCCCTTAGTTATTATCCCCCGTTTCTTTCTCACCTCCCTTTCTGTCTCCATGTCTGTTGTATACAACATTACTCCCTAAATCATTTTCAATTAAGTTTCATATACAAGTACCAAGGATCTCATGGCAATGCCCATAAAGATCTTTTATGAAAGCAAATCTGTTTGGCTATCATCTAAAACATCTCAAACAGAAGACAAAACAGTACACACACAAAAAAGAAACCCCTACTTTTAACACCAAACAACTCCCCTTTTCCTAAAGAAATGCACTTAATCACATTCACAGGGTTGGAGCTTGAGGAGAGCTGGATCATATGGGATCTGCACCACCTCTCTAGGTGGCCTAAAGACCTTTATTCTCACTGATGCCCTCAGCCTTTCAACTCAGCTCACAGGCTTTCTGTAGGATTTCTGGGGACTGATGGAAGTTTGATAG